GCGGGCGGAGCGGAGCGGAGCGAATGCTCCCGGTGCACGCTTATGCTGATTATCCTGATGGTGAGGAAAATAGAGCAAGCGCTGCGACCCTCCCGCCTGGCTTCCCCTTTGTCCCTCCGAGCGCAGGCTCCGGGGGAAAGTGCCTGCGGGTTGAGCAGAGTGCGGCGGGGCCCCGCCTGCACCCCAGCACGTTCAGCTTCCTTAGACAGGGTCTGGCCCCGCAGGGGGCTCTGCCTCTGGAGCCGTCTGCCTGTTCGCCTGGTGACAGGGGACAAAAGGCTCTCCTGGCTTCGGAGCAAGTCTGAGCTTCTGTCCGGTAGCCCGGTCAGAACCCAAGCCTGATCAGCACGAGGAGACTTGATCGGCTTTGCTGACTCATAATAGCTGTAGTGTTAGGGCAAGCTTGGTAAGAACCCTTATTCTGGAGTAAAAGCACCCCTGGGGAGCTCTTCTGCTACAGCTCCCAGTCTGTGCTGTGTCATGCTCCAGAATCTCTTGGTCATGTTTCTCCGGCCTGAAATATTGCTGTGTGGAATTTACAAATTCATGCTTGTGCACCGTGCCGGTGCTTGTCAGCAAAGTCCTTGCAGCAGCGGGCAAAGGTTGCTGAAATGCACAAGGCACCAGAATCCGGAAATGGACGCAAAGCATGCAGCTGGGGAGAGGCTGAAAGTCCTGTGGACTTTGACGTGCTTCATATGGCTCCAGAATACTAGAGCAAAGGGTCGCAGTACAGTTTTATACCAGTAGCATAAGAGCAGCAGCTTTATAGTGCACCTGGCTGAATGCTTTGCTGTGAATGAATTGTGTTCTTTGCTGCCAAGATAAAACCCCGGATTATAACTTAAACACCGTGAAGATAAAATGCCTGGTCCTTGCTGGCAGGCGGGGTTCTCCACCAACCTTGTAATTTGAAGGGGGAAATGTGACCATCAACCTGCTCTGCTGGGTGGGAATGTGTTGTATTTTCAGTGTCTCATCTGTCAGGCGCTAACCTCTATTATATGTGAGTGCTGCTGACATTTCTTAGTTACTTGAGGTTTTGAATGTTACTGATAATTGTTTACCAAACTTCAAGTGGACAAAGCCAGCTGTTGTCTTCACCTTGCTCCATCAATCATAATCCCTTTGCAAATGAGAAATAAAAGCCCCTGATCCCTGAAGATCCCTTGTGAGGGGTTCTGGCTCTTGCAATAGGAAGGCTGTTTGCGCCAGTTCTGTGATGTGGCTTGTTTTCCCCTGCACTGACAGATTGTGTTGGTGGGACAGTGCAGGAGACACCAAAACCTTGCTAGATTGTGGAGGCACCAGGTGGAGATAGGCATCAGCTGGGGTTTGGTTTGGAGAGGGTATCACCTCAGTGCTGGAGAGAGGTCTCTGCTGTTTTCTGCTGTGCTGCATCATGCAGCGCCGTCTTGGGTCACACAGACAGAAAACATCTGAGGTTTGGGATTGTGCAAGAGAACCAGTGCCAGATGATTGTGGGGAAGGGCCCTCGTGCTCACTTGCAGCCAGGGAGGGTAGTGGAGCGCTCAGAGTCGAGCACCTCCCAGCAGTGCAGGCTGACGGCAGGTCTGGCAGATGGAGAGCAGGAAAAAGGGAGAAGCATGCAGCACAGCCTTGCTGCGGGGCAGCGTGGTGGAGGCTGCTGGATGTGCCTTCTGCTCTGTGCTTCCGTCTCAGGTCTGCACGAGGAAGCATTAAATGCAAACCAGACAGGCCCTGGTGTCTCCTGGCTCGCAGACTTGCTCGTGCAGACGTTGGTAAATGCCAGCAGCTGCGTGTTGCTGGGGGCTGTTCACTGACTTGTGGCTCTGAGAGGGTTCCTTGAAGCTGCAGGGGTGAGCATTGCTTGTCTTGCCAGTGCTTCTTGCTGGAAAGGTTCAGTTATTATTGCAGTTGTTGCGGTGGTTTTTATTGTTATTTTATGTAAGGATGACCTTAGTGATTCAAACTAACCATTCATGTAGCCCTGCTCCTTTCAGCTCAGGGGATTTCTGAGCCAGTTCTAGTTTGTCTGTATTATAATTCCCAGTTTACCTCTCATTCCCAGAGCTTGCCCAGTTTCCCCTTGAGTTTATGAAAACTGTCTGTGCTCACAACATCCCTCAGCAGGGCATTCCACAGGTCTGTTTCCTCCTGCATGAAAAAACACCTCTTTTGGTTTGTTTTGAATCTGTTTCCTGATTTCACTCGTGGCCCCTAGCTCTGGTGTTGGAAGTGGCCGTGAACAATCAGTTTCTGTCCACCTCTCCAGAGCATCCCTGCAGGCACAGCACTGTGTCAATTGACGTCATGGGACTTAGCCAGCCACAGACAGAGCTGATGGTACCTGCTGTTGGCTGTAGTTCTGCTCTGAGCCAGAGGCCGGACTAGGGCCCTCCAGACACCACCTCCCACCAACACTTCAGCGATTTTAAGGCTCGCTTGCCAGGAACTGAGCAGAGAGCCCTTGGTTTGTGCTGCTTAATACCCAGCAGGCACCAAGAGGTGAAAATTGCCCTGCTCACTCTTTCTCCCTTCCTTCAGCCAGTCCCCATGCTAGGAGGTCTTGGCTCCATGCTCAGCAACTCTTCCACACACAGATATCTGCATGTAGTGAGCTACCACTTCTCCAGTCACACCCCGAAATACTAATGGGCTCTCTTATTCTGACAGCACCAAGATGGCTGTTCTCTCAAAGGAGTACGGCTACGTCATCCTAACAGGGGCTGCCAGCTTCGTCTTGGTCACATACCTCGCGGTGAAAGTGGCCAAGGCCCGCAAGAAGTACAATGTGGAGGTGAGTGCTCAGGCTGAGGGAAGGGAAGGTCGGAGCTGGTCTGCAGGGGATGTTGCAGACAAGCTAGGTGACACCTTGGTTATTTTTGGGTGACCTGCTGACATTTCCTGCCACACCACACAGATGCAGAAGGGATGGAGCTGGTATTCTGGCTCTCTAGACTGGAGCAGACAGCACAACAGAGCTTGAGGTTTGGCAGATCAGGTGCTTGGCATCGAGCTGAGATGGCTGAAAGCACAAGGCTTTGAGCTTGGAAACGCTGATGAACAAGAAACAGCACAGCCCTTTTTCCTGCAAAGGCAGCCAATGCAGCGCTGGGGGCAAAGGGGTTGCAGTGGAACAAAAGTGACAGGAGGGTTTCTCAAGCTCAGAGGGAGCACGTGAGGCCTATCACAAGAAGTATTTCAAAGTGACCTTCCCTCGGCATCCATCAAGGAGCCTGCGAGCCGGGCAGGGCTGTGGGCTGGGTGGGGGCGGCCGGTCCCGTGGTCCTGTCCCTGAGTCAGGGCAATGGCATGCGGAGGCTGCTGTGCCACTTGGCTCTGAGTGCAAACGCTCCTTTGCTCTTTCCCCCGGTCACTCGGGGGAAGTGGCAAGAAGGGGTGGGTGCAAGGACAGCCCCGGGCGTACGCTGCAGGCCCCGGGTGCCTGTTGGGGTGACCCCACTCCTACTGCATGAAGTCAGGATTGTAGCAAACCTGCCCAGTGCGTGCGGTGCACAGAGCACTGGATTTCAGGCTTGCGGAAGCCTCTGCAGCCAAGCGGCAGCTCTGGCTGGCTGCTCAGCTCTGCAGTGTCCTCCCAGCCTGTTCCTGGGTGATGGGCTGCTGCCAGCTCCCCAGAGGAGACACGCGGGCATGTCCTCAGTAACACTGCTTTGCTCTTCCCTCCAGAGGGATGAGATTTAAACAGAGAGGTCACCCAGTACCTGGCTATCTTCTCTTCAAAGCAGGGTCACCTCCGCGGTAGTCAGGTTGCTCAAGGAGTTCATGAAGTGGCCTGAGGCAAGCAGCAAATTTCAACAAAGCAGTTGTGGGCCGTGAGGCAGGAGACAGGCTCTCACTTGCCAATGCAAGTCAGTCTTGCAAGCAGCCATGCAGCTCAGGGCTCCCTGCGGAGAGGTGCTGCAGGGCATGCTCCTCGCTGCTGCAGAACAGGCTCCCAAGCCCAGACTGCACTTGCTCATGTTTTGCTACTGCTTTATTTTTTTGGCAGTATCCAACCATGTACAGCACAGACCCTGAACATGGGCATATATTCAACTGTATCCAGCGTGCACACCAGAACACGTGAGTACCACATACGAATGCAGACCTTGAAAATATGCAGAGCTGTGGAGCAGGGCCTACAGCTAGAGGCTCGCTGCTGCCAAGTGCTTGGGTTCAGGCTCCATGCCTGATGAAAACACACGGCCATGTAATGCTGCATGTAAGACTGTGCTGCCTCCTTATCATGCCTTAAACTATGAGATGGGGCTGTGAAGCAGCCTCCTCTTCCCCAGTGTCTGGCTCTTTGCCTCTATGGATGGATCTTAAGACACTGGAAGTCTTGTTTCCAGAAGAGCCTGTCTAGGGGCTGCTGATCTGTTGTATTGCCCACATCTCCCTGGGGAGAGGCTAATGTGGACCAGGCTGCAACAGCATTATCAGAGGGATGCTGGGAGGAACAACTCCTCCTGGGTCAGGTGGGGGTAAGCAGTATTTAGCAGTGGCTTAGGGCACAAAACAGAAAGAGTGGGTGGGTGGGTGTCCTTGGAGAGAGGCACAGATTCGGGGGGAAGTCCCTAAAAGTCTGTGCATGCTCCATTCCCTCTTTCCTCCATCTGTGGCCACAGCATGGAGCACAGCTCTCCTGAGCATGGAGTCTCGTAACAGTCAAGCCCAACAGAGACTTTGGATGCTCGCAGCTTCTGTGTTTCCGGACTTTCCTCTTTGTAAGGAACTTGAACACAAACACAACCTCCTCACTTTTATTTTCAGATTGGAAGTTTATCCTGCTTTCTTGTTCTTCTTAGCCACCGGTGGAGTCTACCATCCGGTAAGTGACACTACGGTGCAGGTCCGCATGACTGAAGTCTGTTCTTGCTCCCTGACTTACGAGGGTGAGGGGCAGTAGGCCAAGCTAGCCCCTCTGGAGACAGCAGGCTGCTTCACTAGCCACACATCACATTTCACAGCCGTGCCCCTTCTGAAAATGTAGCGGTACAAGGTCTTGTGCAGGAGAATCACAAGTATTTAATAAACTCAATTACTGCTGCTTCAGCTTTAGACCCTTTTCCTTCCCCTAAGGGTGCCTTGTCAGACAAACCAAAGCATTCGCAGCCTCCAGTCCATGGGCAGGAAGGGTCCCTCCAACCTTGCCTGGTTCTTCCAAGCCCTGCAGGGTCCTGCTGGGTTTACAGTAGTGCTGCTCAGCAGCTGGTTGCGTGGAGGACAGGAACCCTTTCTCCCCCTTCTAAGCACACTTTCATGAAGAGTTTATCTGGTAAGAATAGATGGGGAACATGGTGATTTTCCCACTCACTTCCACCACCAAAGGAGGTGTGCGAAGAATCAAAAAAAGCCTGGATTATTTCTAACTGAAAGATGTAGACAACTCATGAGTAGGCAGGCATGTGGGAGAGGCCAAAACTAGTAGCTCTTTCTTTGCCACCAATACACAAATCAGTCATTCTTGAATATTCCTTTTCAAGAGGGAGGGAAGCACCATAGGCAAATCTGGCAAACTGGAGCCCTGTGGCAGCAAGCTCTAAATTAAGAGGCAACGTGGAAGTCTGCAACACCTGCAAGAGGAAACTCTACACCTGCTGGAGGCAGTGGGGTGGGGCTTGGGGCAACAGCTGCCTCCAAGATCCTGGCACACGGTCTAGCTCACTAATTGGACAGTGATGAAATAAGATTCAGCACCTGCTGCCTGTATGACTTAAGCATTTCTTGCTTGGGAAGAGTTGTGCTGCAAAACAGCAAGGCTCTGCAGCACATCACATGCTACCTCCCCACAGGTGTCATGAAAGTGACTCCTCCTATACAAAACTCATCCTAGTACACTGCATCAGTCACCCACCTCCTGCAGGAGGAGTCCCAGTTGTCCTAGCAAGGTCAGGACCCACACTGTAGTTGGTGGTTGCTTCTCTGAAGCAGGGCTGCTGTAACAGCTAAGCACATGCAAGTGGCAAGTCTCCAAGCCTTTTAATGCTTCTCCTTTATCTCTAGCGGACTGCTACAGGGCTTGGCATCACCTGGATCCTTGGGAGAATCCTTTATGCTCATGGCTACTACACAGGAGGTAGGTCTTTATCCTGCAGCACACAGCAGGTTCTTGGAAACTTCAGTCTCCTACGGTGACCTGAGGGCTCTTTCCTCCAGCTCACATTAAAGAGGCAGCATAAAGCTGCCAGGCAGGATGTAAAGAAAAGGGTGCAGGTCCACAGGCTGCTAACTCCATGCTTTTCCTACTGATAGGAAGAGCACTAATCTAATAATAGCACAAACTTGAGGGTAGGTACATGGCCTGAGCTGGTGCCTGCTATTTTGCCTTGAGATTTATCTCCAGTTCCTGCTCCCTCTAATTTTCAGGATGGGCTAGTCTTTCAGTGATGGGCTGCTGAACTGACAAAACATGTCTTTTTTCCAGATCCAAAAAACCGAAGGAGAGGGGCCATTGGTTCAGCTGCACTCATTGGGCTGGTGGGCACAGGCGTGTATTCAGCTTGCCAGCATCTCGGCTGGATCCACCAGGACTAACTGACCATTGTGATGGCTGCCTGGGAAACTAAAGGGATTTTTGTTCTGTTTTCTTTTGGAACATTTCATTTCTGGTTGTTTCCTCCCGCCCC